TCATGCTTGATGATGTCTCTGATCAGGCAGGCAGCACATGATCGGGCTCCTTGCGCTTGCGGCGCGAGTTGGAGTAAACAAGCGAGGGTCACGAGACTTGGCAGCCAGCCAAGGCGCTCGCTTCCCACAATCATGATCATTTAACACTTAGGGAAACAATAGGTAACCTCATTTATGTTCTTTTTTAAAGAGTTATTTTTATTTTACATGTTTGTGTATATTGCCTATGTGTATGTAAGTGCACTGGTGTCATGCAGTGCCTGTGGAGGTCAGAAGAGGGTGTCAGATCCCCTGGAATTGGAGTTATGGATGGTTGTTAGCTGCTATATGGGTGCTGGGATTGAACCCAGGTCCTTGGCAAGAGCAATCAGTGCTCTTAACTGTTGAGCCAGCTCTCCATCCCCGTCATTTATGTTCTTAACTACTATGCCATGAATTGCTTCTCTACCTTTTTTTTTTTTTTTTGTCTTTTTGAGACAGGGTCTCCCTGAAGTCCCACCTGACCTGAACTCACTATGTAGACCAGGCTGGCCTTGAACTCACAATGATCCGCCTGACTCTGCTTCCCAAATGCTGGGATTAAAGGCATGTGCCACCATGCTCCCTTCTACCTAACTTTTTAAATCCCCTGTTCCTCTTAAGAGGTTTAATTAGTTTTCTCTCTTGGATGAGTATCTTCTACTTTTAAGTTTTTTTTTTTTTTTTTTTTTTTTAAGACAGGGCCTTCCTGTAGCCTGAAACTTGCAATGTACACCAGATTAACCTCCATCTCATAGAGATCCTCCTGCCCCTGCATCTAGAGTGCTGGGATTGAAGGTGGGTGCCACCACACCCAGCTTCACTTCTATCTTTAGATCCTAGTATTTCACCTTAGTTAGGCCCTTATGGTATCTTATAAGTTTTCCTATGAACATTATCCTCAGAGTCAACTTGCTTATGTTGAAATAACTCATATTTTCTCCCAAATCAGACTGATTATTTGGATTTCCTGCACTCTTAGCATTTCTCTAGTTTCCTAGTCATCTTTATTTTTCTTCATTGTTGATTAAAAAATGGGAATTAAGATCCTGAGGACAGAGCTTAGTGGTAGAGCGTTTGCTTAGCATGCACAAGGTCTTGGGTTCATTACCAACAACCCCTCTCGCTAAGAAAAAAATGACTTAAAAATGGGAAATCATAGCATTTTCCTTCTGGTTCCTCTTTTTATGTTAGTTTCTTGAATCTGTTGATATGTAAATACCTCTTCTCCTTTTCATTCTATATTTTCTTTGCACTTGACCATAGCCAGTCTGAGAAGCTATCTACATTTTCTTTGGTATTACCTACTCTTAATAGCTCTGTATATTAGCTATAATATATAATATTATATATTATGTGATATATAGCATGTTTTTACTAAAGTTGAAATTGTAGTAGTTTTTTCCTTCTTTTGGAACCCGCCCCCCATCATACACATGCACACTACAAAAAAAAAAAAATTCTATTTTAGGAGTGGGATGCTTGAAACCTAAACTCTGTTATAGTTAGGCAGGGCTTCTCACACTTCCATTTACCATTTACCACATGAGAGCCATTCTGTGTATTTTAGGATGTTTTCCAACATCTCTGGCCTCTGCTCATGAGATACCAACAGTTTTATATCTACCCTGCCTATTCTCACCAGTTATGACAGTGAAAAACGTTTCCTGACACTGCTAGATTTCCCTTTGCAGTTGTACGGTACAGAATCTTCCCAATTGAGAGCTTCTGGGCTTAGAGAAATCCATGGTTGAATAGAACTAGAGTATTCATTTCTATACCTGGGTGTCAACTTCTTGAGATTTTGGGGGAGGAAACATGATTAAAGATGCTCAGCAGGGTGTGGTGGTGCATACCTATAATCCTAGTCCTGGGGTGTGGAGGCAGAAGGATCAGGAGTTCAAAGCCAGCCTCAGCTATATGGAGAGTGCATTTTTAAATTCCATCTTGAGGGCATGAGTGGGCTAATCTTTGTAGGGAAATAAATATAAAAGCGATAGTGTTTGTTTTTTCATAAGTTTCCTTTGAACTTAGTGGAGAGTTAGGATATTTATACTTTATTGTCACCATTTATTGCCATCTGATTTTCTTAGTGCAGATTTCTAAACCACAGAATGATTTGTAGAATTTTTATCAAACAAAATATGATCTGTATATTAATTCAAATGGGTCGAGAATCTCACTTTGTTTCCAGGCTGGCTCATATCTCACTCTGTAATCGCTACTGGCCTCAAATTTGTGGTAATCTTCCTGCCTTAGCTCTCCTGATACTGGGATTACAGGCATGTGCCACTACATCTGGGCAGAACATGATCTTAAATAACTGTTAAAACTCCTTAGTGTTCACTTTTTTGATAATGACATTTGTTTTTAGCCAGTGAAATCTCAATACAATCTTTTTTTTTTCATTTGTTTTCCATTTCATAGGGAGACCGTTCTAATCTGAGCACTAGCCAGCCTTTTCCATCTGCATTGCCTCCATTTGTTCATCAAGAACCAACCAGCAAATTAGAACATCATTCCTCCAGTCTCAGAATGTTGAGAGTATCTCGTGACGCTCTGCCAGCAACTCTCAGACATTTAACAGGTATGTAGAAAAAGGAGGCATTAAATGTCTTCTTTATATCTACATCATGAACATTATGTTGCTGTGCTTTTCTAGCAATTTGACTGGATTAAAGAATATCCAGATAGATTGTTTCTGGACATGCCCTGTGAGGGTTTCTGAGGAAGAGATTTGAATAAGTGGACTGAGTAAGAAAGATTTCCTTTACCAGTACTTGTCTACCCAACTGACTGAGACCTGGATTAAATAGAGGCAGAGGAAAGGCACACTGGGACACCATTTTCCTGCCCTTGGATATCAGATCTCCAGATTCTTGGGTCTTTAGGAAGGTTCTCATCTCTTTGGTCTGGACTGAGAGTTACACCACTAGCTTTCCTGGTTCTGAGGCATTTGGTCATGAACTAAATCACACCACCTGTTTCCTTAGGCTGGTAGTATAGAATCATGATCTCCAATGTCACCTTGCTTCTGAGAATGACGTGCAAGTCTTTTATTTAGTCAGCTCCACAGCTCCATCTAGTCTTCATTGTAAATTCTAGATTTTTCAGTAAGCTACTCTCTCTCTTTTTTTTTGAGACAGCATCTTACTTTGTAGCCCTGGATGGCATTGGAACTTGCTGGACTAGGCTGGCCTGAAACTCAGAGAAGTCCGCCTGTCTCTGTCTCCGAAGTGCTGGGGTTAAAGCATGTGTCACCACACCCAGCCCCTCTTCTTAAATCCCCAACCTGCCTCTACCACTTGCCACCTCCCTCATCAGATAATACTGCTTTCTACCTCAAAATTGACCTCCTAAGTTCTTCTCTACAAGAATATTTGCACTCATGCTTATCCTTTTGAGCTTAATTAATTCTTTTTTTCTTCAAGTCATAAAAAATGCTCCTATAATAGAAGTGAGGGAATTTCCTATCATCTGAATGATGTGTCTCCTTAAAATTTTTGTGTTGGAATCCTTACTCTTTGTGATGACATCAGGAGATGGAGCCTTTCATGTTAGTTATAAAAAGTACCTCAAAGTGATCCCTCCAACCATGTGAACACAGCATGATGGGCACTGTCTATGCATAAGAGGCTCTTGACAAATCCTTATTCTACAGGCACCTTCATCTAAGACTTTGCTGTTTCCTTTCTGTTGTGGGGACATGAATTATAAGCTCTTTAAATTCTGGACTAGAAAGGGCCTTTTTTTTATTAAGTATTTGTAGAGATAATACCACTGAACTAGAGCTTTGGAAGAAAAGAAAAAGAATATATTTAGAATGAAAATAGAGATTATCTGTTGTCAGACCCTGTCTGGCCAGCTAACTCCAAGGATTCACTAGTCTCTCCTTCCTCAGTGCATGTGGATGTCAGAGAACAGCTTTTGAATGTTACTTCTCTCCTTCCACTGAGGATTCTAGGGATTGAACTCAGGTTGCCAGGCTTGCATGGCATGCACTCTTACCACTGACCCTTTGTTCATATTCTATGCAAATAGAAATAATTTGACCTTTTTGATTTGTATCCCTTTTATTTCTCTTATTGCTCTAGCTAAGACTTCAAGAAATGTATTGAATCAGAGAGGAAAGAATAGATACTCTTATGCTTTTTTCCCCCCATCTAGAGGAAATGTTGGCTTCTGTATAGCCTTCATTATATTGAGATGTTTCTTCTATTCCTTCTTTTCTCCAGTTGGGTAGAATGTGCTATAGATGTCTCTTAAAGTACATTTGATGTTTTGTTTATTTAACTGCTTTTTTTCCCCTGATGACTTCACTATTGCTGAGAGTTAAGTAACTCATTACTGTTGTGTTGAGTTGTTATTGTGTGAGAGTTACTATATAACTGTATGTATTAATTCCTATGATTTTGGGGGGTTTTGGGGGGGTAAAGTTTGGGACTTAATAACCCTCATTTTCTTAATCTACTTATCTAGCAGAATTAAATTTTTTTCTATGACCTCATGAATATGTTTATCTTTCTCTTCAGTATATAGAATTCTTTCAAGAATCTTCTCCAGTGCCCTGGGTTTCATCTTTGGAACCCATCATAGCGAAAGAAGAGACCTAACTCTTAAAAGTTGTCCTCTGATCTCTACATGTGTGCTGTGGTGCACCACCATATTCATATCCTCCTTCTCTTCTTCCCGAGCTCCCTTCCTCCCTCTCTCCGTTCCCCCTCCCCTCCCTCTCACACACATAAGTAAAATTAAATATTAAAACAAAATAAAAAAAATAGTGGTCTCATAGAAGTCAGCAGTGGCTACATTTGGACCTGGTATTTTTGGTTGGCAAGATTGGGCACACCTTTAATCCCATCTCTCAGGAGGTCGAGGGAGATAGATCTTTGTGAGAGGCCAGCCTGGTCTATATAGTGAGTTCTAGGCCAGCTGGGGCTACAGGGAGACCCTTTCTCAGAAAAAGAAAAGAATAAATAAATTCTCCAGAGCTGACATAGTGGGCATGAATTCCTTAAGTTAGTGTTTATCATAGATTTTTTTCCCTTCAGTAGTAAAGGACATCTTTGCTGGATATGGCAATCTGGATTGGCAGTATTGTCATTCTGATCTTGAAATACATTGGTTCATGTCCTCCAGGCTTTTAGTTTCTATTGAGAACTCTGCTATTACTGTGATAGGTTTGTCTTTTTTCTTTTTTTTTTTTTTAAAAAGTATTTTATTCATTATTTTTATTTTTATGTGTATGAGTGTATTGCCCGCATGTATGTGAGTGCACCCATGTCGTGCAATGCCATGAAGGTCAGAAGAGAGCTTCGGATCCCCCTGGAACTGGAGTTAAGGATGGTTTGTAGCAGCCATGTGGGTGCTGGGAATCGAACCCAGGTCCTCTGCAAGAGCAGTCAGTGCTCTTAACTGCTGAGCCATGTCTCCAGCCCCAGTTGTCTTTTATATGACTTGGTGCTTCTTTCTTGGAGCTTTTAATATTCTTTGTATACTTAGTGTTTTAATTGTAATATGTCATGCCAAGCTTCCTTTTTTATTTTGTTTTATGTGCATGAGTGCTTTGCCTGCATTTATTTAAGTGCACCCATTTATGCTGTGTGCTTATTGAGGGTCAGAAGAAGGCATCAGATCCCTGGAACTGGAGTTAATGGCTGGTTGTTAGCTTCCATGTAGGTGCTGGGAACTGAACCTGGGTTCTCTACAAGAGCAACCAGTGCTCTTTACCACTGAGCCATCTGTCCAGCTCCTCAGGTTCCTTTCTGTTCTTGTTTGTTTGGTGTTCTAAATGTCTCCTATATCTAGATGACCATCTCTTTCTCCAGATTTAAGAATCTTTCTTCTAGGTTTTATTGAATATATTTTCTATGCCTTTAGATTGTACTTTTTCCTTTGTCTGTGCCCATGATTCATAAGATTGGTCTTTCAGTGATCTTATGGTCTATTATTATTATTATTATTATTATTTTTTTTTTTTTTTGGTCGTTTTGAAACAGGGTCTCTCTGTAGCCCCAGCTGTCCTGGAACTCACTATGTAGATCAGGCTGGCCTTGACCTAAGCTCAGTTTCTGGCACCCACATTGGGTGGCTCACAACCATCTATACCTCTAGCTCCAGAGAATTCGACATCTTTTTCTGAATTCTGCAGGCACTGTGCACATGTGACAAACACCAAATAAAAATAAATCACTAAATAAAAACTCAGGGCAGGTGGATCTATGAGTTTGAGGCCAGCCTGGTCTACATAGTGAGTTCCAGGTCAATCAGGGCTACATAGTGAGACCCTGTTTCAAAAAAAGCTACACATCCCATGTTCTAAGCTACAAAAGAATACAGATCATTTCCTCAGACCATAATGCCAGAGTGAGAAACACATGAGAAAGGGGTAGTTAAAAATGCATTGTTGGAGAGTAAATAAACTGAATTAGAAAATGTTTTTTTTTAAAACTTTTTATTATTTTTATTTTATGTGTATGCATGTATTGCCTGCATGTAGGTAAGTGCACCGGTGTCATGCAATGCCAGAGGAGGTCAGAAGAGGCTGTCAGATCCCCTGGGACTGGAGTTATGGACAGTTGTTAGCTACCATGTGGGTGCTGGGATTCGAACCTGGGTCTTCTGCAAGAACAACCAGTGTTCTTAACCACCGAGCCATCTCTCCAGCCCAGAAAAGGTTTTAAAAACTGAAGAAAATACATGGCTGATTACTAAGTGCTTCAGATGGCCATGGAACAGCCATGTGCCACCGTCGCTGGGATATTCCTCACTGCAGACAACACAGAAGCTCCAGAATTTGAGTCAAGCAGGAGAGAAAACCCAATAGACAAGAAGAAAAAATAAACATTTTGCGAAAATTATTTACTTATTTTTATTTTATGTGTATGAGTGTGTTGCCTGCGTGTATGTAAGTGCACCCGTGTCATGCAGTGCCTGTAGAGGTCAGAAGAGGGTGTTGGGTCCCCTGGAACTGGAGTCACAGATGGTTGTTTGCCACCATCTCTCCAGCTCCGAAAAATAAATAAAAACTAAAAAGTGGGCTGGGGCCAGGTATGGTGGTACATGCCAGTAATTCCAGCACTTGTGAGGGCAAAGCAAGAGGATCAGGAGTTCAAGGTCAGCATCAGCTAGAGTGAAGCCAGCATTGGTTACATGAGACCCTATTTTTAAAAAGGGCTAGGGATGTAGCTCAGAGCCCTTGCAAGGCCCTGGGTTCAATCCCTAGCACTTAAAAGTATATAAAATAAAATTTCTTAATATTTGAGAAAAACATCTGTATCAAATGTGTAGTTTTATCTTGCTATTCTCTGAACATAGCCTAACCACTGTTTACCCAGCCCTTATTATATTTGGCATGGTAATGTCTCCAGAGGATGAGCAAAGGTTATAGGGGAAAACTGTATTATTTGATGTTTTATAAGGGACTTGACCATCTTTTGGTGATCCCATATCCCATCTCCATGGATACTGAGACAATACATTTATCCATTATTGACTAGACTGACCAAGAAGCGCTAATCTACCAAAGATGACCACACTCCTCAAAATGCACATTAATATTAATATGCTCAGATCATACACTGAATATTTTTGGAAAAGGTTAAAATTTATTAATAACATCACATGGTTAATTCAACTAGTTCGCTACTGAACACAGTGATAACATGTTCACTAGACTGAGTGCTCGAGGATGAGATGAGTGAAAGGTTCCTATCTTCTGTATCACACAGAGCAGTACTGACAGAGTGCTGTCAGCCTAGTACTGGGAACATATTCAGCCTGGTGCTAGAACACAGTAAGCCTAGTATTGGGAACTCAGTCAGCATATTGCCCAGTGTTCTAGATTAAAAACTAACACTTCTTGAATAGCCACACACACACACACACACACACACACACACACACCTTTTAAAAGAATGTATCATTTCATAGACAATACCTGGTTTTAAAGTTTAAAAATTAAGATTCAAAAATTAAGTCAAAATTCACCTGTATTTCGTGGGTATTCCCTAGTGAGGCATAGATCTAGGGGTGGCCTTTGGTGTCGCTGGACACACCTGTGTTCCAAATCAGTACCTGCAGGTGGGGAAAGTGAGGAGCCCCAACAGGAGCAAACCAGGACCTGTGCCCTTTCCTCCCAGGAGGAAGGGGCAGCTTTGACTTCTTTACACCCTGTCTTACTCCATTGTAACCAGGCATTGCTCTCAGCACAAGTTTGAAAAATGTGCGGAGCTTGGGTCCACTGAGTTGTAGAGTTTCTCACAGCCTTTCTGTTTTGACCTTTATACCCCATTTAATAGTGTTACACGGCCCTTCCCTCTTCATCACGTTGCATCCAGGTTTAACATCTGGTCGTTCGATATTTTAGGACACAAGTAGGTTTTGGATTCAGAGTGAACGGAACACTTGGGAGGCAGGATGAAGCTTTCATGTCCCCCTGTATCTGCCAGTTTGAAATAAATACCATATTAAAAAAAAATTAAATGGGTCAGCAGCTTGGTTCAAGGAAGCAGACAGACAGCACTTCTTGTGAAACACAAAACAAACCCGAGGTGGTTTTCGCTAGGAGGGCACAGGCACAGATATCTCAGAACGTCCCTGAGGGTTGGTTTGGGTGTTTTGTTGCTTCATTTTGGTTTGATAGACAGTCGGATATAAATTTTTCAAACACATTTTTGGTGGCATTCCTTTATCTTGTCAAACTGATTTAACATACTGACTGCCCTACAAAGAAAGTCTTCTAAGCAATGAGTATTTGAAATGATTCCTTTGGTGAATGTCCCAAGTGAGATCACTCAGGAAAGTGTGTGTCAGGGTGGCCAGTTGCTGTGGTTTCCTCAATCCAGGGCACCAGCCTGTCTCCACACTTCAAAGACTGCAGAGGAAGGAATCTGTCACCCTGCCATTCACTCACCCAGAGGCTTCGCTGCTCTCTTTCCACAGGTGAATGAAATATTTCTAGGAGCTGGTCAGTATCTCCACCTCACGCCCGGAACTACACTGATCTATTAATGAGGGCGAGCTGAGGAGACCCCCGCCATCTATATACAGAACAAAGTAATATATAGATACATTACAGACAAGTAACCATTAAACAATGAAGGAGCAGACCTACTTCATGAACTAAATAAATTTCAAACATAAATTAAATGAAAAAATACAGTGTTTCCACTTTTGCAGGAAAAAAAAATTAACGACACACCCAAAGGTCCCCTCTCCCAAAGGTTCATTCCTCTCCCAAAGGCATGCAGCCACATGAAGTGCAGTCATAGTGAGGTGTAACCACACTGAGGTGCGGCCTTGTTGAGATGCACCCACAAACGCACTTGCAGGTGTTGAGTCTTAGCTTTGGTTTGTCCCATTATGGGATCCCTCAATTCCAGCAAATGTTAGAACAGGCAGGGTGATGCTTATGGTTGAGTTGGAGAGGAGCCAGCTATGTGGCCATCCAGGGGATAGATGTCCCTCCACCTCTACCTGTCTTCCCTTCCATGTCTGCCTCTGAGGAAAGAATGTGTCAACATCCATGCAAGGGGATGCCCTCTGCTTACAAATGTCACACTCAGCTCCAAGATGAGGTAACCAGGTCTTCAAGACTGTCCCCATCCCATAGGATTGTACAGGGATGTAGAATTTGTCTGGGGTGGAGGCAGTGACTCGGGATCGAAACTTCTTTATAGGTTGAAGAGAAACCGTGGGAAGTTGTGGTTGGTGTGAACAATTCCTTGTTTCTGATTCTTAGGAAGGCCAAGGATTGGGTAGCAAACTCTACAGTGAATATGCTCAGAGACAAAACCCGGTCCCACAGGGTTCTCTCTGCCAAGGAAATGCTAAGGGGTCTGTCTCCAACACAAGGGGATGACACCTCATAATTTCAAACAGGGAAGAGGGGAGCAGCAGTCCCTTCAGGGTTCCGAGGTTCTATCGCTGTCCAGCCTCACGGATGCGGCAGGCCACCGCAGTGATGAGAGCTGCTCCCTTCCCGCTGCCGTCCTCAGATTCCAGGAAGGACACGTCGCATTTTGGAGCCAGATCCTTCACTGTTTCATGCATGACTTTTGCAAAGCTAGAAATGGGGAGAAAGACAGGACAGATGAGCCTTGGTAATGACTGACTTGTGTCCTCAGAGGTGAGGCTGTACAGAGTCAGACTGAAGACCTAGAAATAAGGATGAGACACCTGACACCTACATGGTGGTGAACATTTCTTATGTGGACCAGAAAACGAAGGGGCTACTAACATGCCCAAGTTCTACATCATAGCAGGCAATCGAGACAGCCAAAGACTGAATTTTGACACACTTGTCTTGAGATTCTGAACTGTGCTCTCAAAATGAATCATTTGTGCCGGGGATGCTCCTCAGCTGGTAAAGTGTTTACCTAACAGCACGGTTGAGGCCCTGGGTTCCCAACTCAGAATCATATAAACGAAACATGGTGGCCCATGCTTATAATCTCAACACTTAGGATGCGGAGGCAAAAGGATCAGAAGCTCAAGGTCACCCTTGGCTACACAGCAAATTGGAGGCCAGCCTGGGACACATGAGACCCCAGCTCAAACCACCTGCAACTCCAACTCCATGTTGTGGCCTCTGGGGGCATTGTATTCACATGGATACACACATAACTAAGATGAAAACTAAAGTCTTAAAAACATAAATCACTCAAAACATTTGCAGATGAAGGAAGAGAGGAGCAAGAAGAGAAATGATCGGGGGAAAGAAAGGAACATGGAGAAAAAGAACATAGTAAAAATAAAGGGAAATCGGCTCCCCTTCCTGACAGGTGGCTAATATTTCCTACACGGGGCAGGGCACTAAATACTTTCAGTGTTGTGGACCACATGACCTCTTGGGACTACTCTGACATCTTAACATGAATATGACTTTTGACAGTACATAAATGTGGGCACGGCTGTGTTCCAATTAAACTTTTATTGACAAAAGCATCAAGTGACTCTTATATGTTAATCCCTGGATCATAGGAGGGAAAAAAGCCTGCTTACATTGTCACAAATCTACTTAGAAAATCATAGCAGCACCATTTGTAAATCAAAGGTAGGTCAGGTACTTCATAATGTAGGAGCAGTGGTAATATGCTCATTTAAAAGTATCACATGCTAGTCGGGTGTGGTGGTCCAGCACCTATAATCCTAGCACTTGGGAGTAGGCAGGAAGATCAGGAGTTCAAGGCCAGTGAATTCAAGGCCCTGAAACCTTGCATCAAACAACTAAAGTGGAAGAAAGGAAGAGAGGGAAACAGAAAAAGAAAAATGCCACTTGAAACACATTACTCTGTATGCTATTTGTGTGTGTGGGGGGGGGGCGTGTGTGTGCAGGAGAAATATGCTTGCTTACGCAGGTGCCAACAGAGGTCAGAGGCATCGGGTCTCCCTGGAGCTGGAGTTACAGGTGGTTGTGAGCCCCCATGTGGATACTGGGAACCCAACTGGGGTACTCTGCAAGAGCAGTATGTGCTCGTAAGTACATCCTTCTAGCCCTATATACTACCTTAAAATAAAGAAAAGATGCCATATGATTACATGCACAGCAAATTCAAAACCAAATTAAATAACAGAGCCATACCCATAGATATATGGGAAAAGGAAAAATAAGGGACTTAACTAAACACAGATCTTGTCCCTGGCAGGGCAGGTGAGTGGTGGGGAGATGGGTAGGAAGGGTCATGGGAGGTGGGGGTGGGGGCAGGGGCTTTTGATACTGAAGATGAAACATAGTCTACTTCTGATCATTCATCCCCAAACTAAACATTAAACCTGCTCTTTGGAAATGGATGATGAAGGAGAGAAGGACGAAGGAGAGAAGGACAAGAACAAAAACACAGGCAGGCTCCAGGAGCAGGCACTCACTGGGGATGGAGCTTGTAGAGGGTCCCATCCACACCCACTGTCACTTTGAGGGTATCCAGCCCACGATTTTCTCGTATCTTGTCCACAACGGCAGCCATGCCTGCACCACAGAGCTGGGCAGCTCGCCGTGCTACCACGGTGCACACCTCCTTGACGATGATGCTGTCGTCACACGTGCTCTCCAGACCCAGGTGGCGCAGGATGGCTCGGACCTGTAGCAGGGCCAGGCAGTCACTGTGTGGGAAAGAGACAGCAGATGGTCAGTCACACACAGTGAGGCCCCGCCTCCCCAACCCCCCACTCAGAAGGTTCTGGAGGGGTCTCTGGCTTGGAGTAGTACTCGTCTACTGACTTATTCTGAAGGCGAAAGGACTATGAACAAATGGCCCCTCATCATTCTACTTGACATCCCCCCTCCCCCCAAGGTAGGGCAATACTAGCACAAAACTGACACTCAAAGATGTGGTGGTCATGTCTCTAATTCTAGCTCTCCAGAGGCAAGAGGTGTGCTGGGAGTTCAAGATCAGCCTGGGCTACATAGTGTGACCTGGATCAAGAAAACCAAATTAAAAGCACAGGAAAAAACTACAGTAGGAAACAAAGGAAATTCACTGTTTATAGTTTCTACTCATTTGGAAATGACAGTTGCAGTGCTTGAGTGACCTTCCACTCACAAAACTGTCAGACCCTTTTTCTTACTCCAGTCCAGGGTGCTTGGGAGAAGCACTAATGGCCATCCACTGAACTCTTCCTGTCCTGTGTCTATGCGCCATGGTAGTGGTGTGAATTCTGCTGAGGCATTATTTATGAAATGGACATAAATAAACCGTAGGGAGAAAATAAACCCTGTGGCATAATGGGAACTGTTTTAGAAACCTGGAGCCATCTCCTTGCATATCAACAGACATTCAAACTAGAATGTATCATCCCTATTTGCTGATGAGGGTACCCTACATGTCCACCCACATCAACCCCCGACTCCTGGCCAATGTCCAGAGAATAGTAACAGCATTAATCTTTAAAGTGCTCTGAAATATCTGGAGCAAATGTTTTTGCTGTTAGCCTGAAGGAGGCTTTGCTCTAACAAACTGCCCAGGGCACATTTCTATACTGTCTGACTTCTCACCTCTGCTCAACCTTGCTACCCAATTAGAGCAGACAGCCATTGGGAAGGACCTCCATGCCACACACAGACACATTTATTAGGTTAACTTGCTCCATGCACTTGAATTCACATCCTGTACAAAGGTATCTTTCTAGTTCTGATATTTGGTCTAAAGCCAATTATGCCACTTTCCATGGCCTCTTTCTATGCTCAGTAGGTCTTTCTGAAGAGCATCATTAAGGATTGGGTAAATGGACCTCTGTGTGAACCATGCCCTGACCTCATATGAGCCGTGGAAACCCTTCAGTCCACCCTCCCCCTAAGCCTTCCATCCTTACCTCTCAATCTGAGACAGGAACTTAGTTTCAAAGATTCCCCTTGTCTTGAGGCGCTCTGAGATGCGGCCTCGGAAGAGCAGACCACGTTTAGTGAAATCTATGAGAATGTTGCGCACAATTTCACCCAGGTACATGCCGCTGATCATCTTCTCAAACCTGCAATACGATAATGTCCAAGGAAGTCAGGCAGGAAAGCTGCAATATGTCCAGGCAGAACAGAAAGTGAAGGGCAGCAGATTGAGAATGCCTCGAGTGACATGGACATTGTCTGAGCATCCTCTCATGCTGATCCACCACCTTCAGCAAAACTCGCCACCTGGTGTTTGAGGGCTCCCTGGGACTGGCCCCTCCACCTGGGCTCATTGCCTTTCAAGGTTTATTCACACAGCCTCCAGAAGGACACATGCACAAACCCAACAACACTTCCAGAACCCCATCCTTGCCACATGAGCCAACCATGCAATGACATGGCTTGAGGGTCTTTTGACTATGCATGGTCTCTTTTAAAATGGCCAAGGCTCCCAGGTTAGTAAAGACCCTATCACTGCCCTACCTCATTTATAGTCTGCCTCCTTCATTAATGGTACCTGCCTAGCTCCTGGAGGTATTTTAGTCTAGAAGAGACCAATAATTTGCTAAAGTGTATTTTAAAGGACAAGGGTCCTTGACTAATCCAGTCAGAAAACACTATAGACAGCCTAACAAGAAGGATGTCAGATCTTAGGTCTCAGTTCAGAATTTCCTCCTATGCCCCTACACTACATGAGGCTCTGTGACATTGGGGCCTCATGTTCCATTTTACAATGCAGGGTGCTGGAGGCTGGATGGCTGGAGAAAGGCTTTGCTCGCTTCACCCCAGAAGCTGCAGGTGTTTCCAGTTTCCTCAGTTTCAGACCTAGCTTCTAATCTTTTCCCATACTTTGTGGTAGATTTGACAAAAGTTCTCTGAAGGAAACCCATTAGCATCCTCAAGAGAACAGGCACCCTGGAAAATGCCATGTGGAGACCTAATCAGTTGCTAAAGTCCAGTTCAGGGATATAAATTCCAAACACAGTTGAGTGCCCACCTCTGTTTGCCAGGGTTGAGAGAGAGTTCATCCACAGCCACATCAAACTCCGTGCAGAGGTCGTCCAGGCATCCGTTGTCCCCAAAAGCCCCCCACTCCATGTTGACACACATCCGCCCCTCCTCGCCATCCACCAGCTCCACATTGCGCATCTCTTCCATGTAGCAAGCATTACTGCCTGTGCCTGTCAATCAGGGAGTCCCAGGTCTCACTCAGCACCAGTCTCCCACCCGCCCGAGACTCAGGCATACCCCTGGGAAGGACAGTTGGTGCCCTTACCAACGATGAGGCCAACTTCACACTGTGGGTCTTCATAGCCACAGGTCATCATAGTTCCAACTGTGTCATTCACCACAGCAACCACATCCAGGTCAAACTCCTGAAAGGGAAGAAGCAGATATCTAGTCCACAAACGAACCACAATGTTCTCTGTTCAGACACTTGCAAGAGAGATCTGAATATGTATTACATTCCACATGCTGTGGCTTTTCCTTCATTTCACTCATCTCTGCTCAACTGCCCCTTGGTGAGCCCGTCACTGGTTGTGCTATGAAGATAACCACTTCTGGGCAGGGAAGATAGTTCAGTCAGTAAAGCAGAGCTTGCACATAAGCATGATGACCCGAGTTTGAGCCTCAGAACCCATGTGAAAAAGCTGGGCTTGGTGGTGCATGCTTGTGAACCCAGTACTGGGAAAGAGGCAGGCATCCCAGGGGCTTGCTGGCATACCTGCCTAACCTAATTGGTGTACCACAAAGACCTGTCTCAAAAAAACTAGATTGGCTGGGTGTGGTGGCACATGCCTGTAGTCCCAGCACTTGGGAGGCAGAGGCAGAGGCAGAGGCAGAGGCAGGCAGATCTCTGTGAGTTCAAGGCCAGCCTGGTCTACACAGTGAGTTCCAGAACTTTAAACTGGGGCTACAGGGAGACCGTGCTTCAAAAAAACCCAAAAAAAAACCAAACTAGATTGATGGTGTCTGAGGAATGGCCCCCAAGGTTGTCCTCTGGTCTTCACATGCGCGCACACACATACACACACACATATTGCCACTTCTCTGCTCTCCCCATCCAACTTCACTTTTCTTCATAGCCCTTAACAGCAGCACCCGTCACTGGATCATGGGTTCCTGTTTATAGAACAAGACTTTGTTGTGGTCATCCCTAAGTCCTCATGCCCAGAGCAAGGCTCCATGCTCAGTGGTCAATCAACCATTGCTGAGTGACATTAATTTCCTTCTAACCAAAACATCACGTGGTATCGCCTCCCTGAACACACAGGCTGCCATGGGTGTCAGGAAATCGCACCCTCTTGCACCATGACACCTACCTCTCGCCGGTGAATTGCTTCTTTCAGCAGGGTGACCACGTCTTCACCCTCGCAGCCAGATGCCTTGAAGCCTTTTGTCCACTTGAGGAGGATGCTCTGAAAACCACACAAACACACAAAGGGGACATCAGAGAAGCGATCGTGGGTCATTCCTGGAGTCCCATTCTGCTTCTAGCTCTCAGCCTCCTAAGACTCCCCAGAATAACCAAGCATCTCACCCAAAATGATCCTAAGCCTCTAAGTCTGTGTCTAAGGTATTGACCTGGATTTACTAAGCCCCTAATGTGCCCCAGAGGCTGGGCATGACCCATGGGTTGCATCACTTAATCCTCATGGCCACCTGTGGAAGTGTTATCCTGATCACTGTCACTTGTAAGGTGACCAAGGCACTGGGAGTGATTTGCCCAAGGTCTAGAGTTTGAAAAGAGGAGCAGGACTCATGTCTACTGACTTATGAACACCATGCAAATGCCCCAGCACTTGTTTCATTCACCAAGCAAAGCAGTCTTCCTTGTTACCATTTTATTTACATCAGAAGAGTCAGTGTGCGTCTCTTAAGTTTCAAACTTCAGCATACAGTGAACAAGTACCCTGACCACAGGTGGAGGACAAGCTTAGTGAGAGAAGGTTCCCAAGCTCGTTATTCTTCTGAAGACCCCTTGTATGTAAGGGGGAGGGGGGAGTGTTCACGTGTTTTTACATGTGTGCACATGGATTGTAGAGGCCCAAGATTGAGATCAATTGTCTCCCTCAGTTGCTCTCCAACTTATTTTTTGAGACAGGATCAGTCTGCCATTGAACCCGGAGCTCACTGATCTGGTCAGGCTGGCTAGCCAGTGGCTCCAGGATCTGCCTATCTCTGTCTCCCCAGGAACAGGGCTACAGAGACACCACTGTGCCTTTATGTGAGTGCTGGAGATCTGAACAAAGGTCTTTATGCTTGCAAGGCAAGCACTTTACCAACCGAGCCATCTCCTCAGTCCCTGAGGGTCCCTCTTTAGTGTGTCTTTCATCATGTGACAGGGCCATCTGGGAACAGATACCCATTGGTTTTGTACATGGGAGAAAGGTTTGCTCCCTGACATGAGAGAAAGGTTTGCTCCCTGGAGTCCTCAGTGCTGTGGCAGCCAGCAGATACCATCATAAACAACCCCAGATCTCCTTCCCAAGAGGCTGGAACCGCCAGTGGGCGGGGTGCTCATCACCACCCACTTGCATGGTGTCTCCAGGCCTTGCTTATGGTATATGCCCATCACCTTGGCATTTCTATTAATCTGTCACACTGGTTAGATCCCAGGAGATTCAGAAGAACAAAGCACTGGCCTGTGGAGCCCTGGCCTCACATGGGCATACTCCTCTCTAGCCATCTCTTGTGCACTAGTCAGCTTCAAGCCTCTGATCGAGTTTGCCTTTGTTCAGGTAATCATTATAATAAGACAATACTAAGCCTCAGCAACCGGGAGACTTGCCTAAAGCCAGGGGTGAATACATGTGGTTGGAGACTCCGGGCCTCCAAGGTCTCCTCAGCACCTGCTAAAGCCTCATCAAAAAGATGATCTCACCAGAGCCAACAACTAGAGCAGACTGCTGCTTTGTGCTTGATTATTCCAATTCTAGACTTAACAGGTGCTTGTTACAGAACATTGGGACCTACAGAATAAAATCCAGCAGGTTCTAAAATCTTCCAATTCCAACAGGAACAGTTAACAAAGCTCCCGTTTTCCCTGATAACCACAGAAAGCTGCCTATCTGTGGCCATGATGGAAAACCTAGTGTCCACTTCGGGGCAGGGGAGATGACTTGGTTGGTAAAGTGCTTGCTGTGTAAACATGAGGACATGAGTTTGATATCCAGCACCCCTGTAAAAACCAGAGCGCTGGGAGGCGGAAACAGGTAGAGGCCCTGGTATTTGCTGGCTATGAGCTCCAGACCAAAAATAAGGTGGACACATGTGCACCCGACCCACACAAATAAACTAATTTAGAAATTTCCCAAGGTCACTCACAGCCTCCTTCCTCTGTCTAAGCTCAGTTTTCTCCTTGCTCCAGACCCAAATGAGTTTAGAGTTGATAAACCCCACAAGAAGAGCCATCCAGGAAGACAAGTTACCTCATCCAGGCTGTTCTGCTGGCAGGGGAATGAGAAGGTGAAACCCAGAGGCAGGGACACGCCCTTCATGCCCATGTACTCCAGGAAGTCAGCAATGCACTGGACTATGTGGTCAAAGAGCTGCAGGAAGAAGTTGGGCCACTGAAGGAGGGTCCCAGGTCAGAGTAGGCTGACCCCCAGAAGAAATGTATGCACCCACCTGAAGAGCAACCCTGCCGGAACCACTAAGCCCCAGCCCACTTCACCCCACACCCCCACCCCACCCCGCCTCAGCCCACAAAAAACCCCAACCCCCACCTCCCATTACTAACACCCACCCTAGGCCAGGAGTGAGCAGAGGAAGGGCCATCCTTAAAGTTGGGAAGGCCACTGGTTGTTGGACCCTCTCAGAGGCCCACCTTGTCTGACCACGTCTCCCCCCTCCCCTGTGCCTCCCCACTCCCTTGCCTCCCTCTCCCCTGCTCCTCACCTCCTCCCCTGTGCCATGCATGACTTCCTGAGGGATAGAGTAAATCTTATTGTGCATCTCCACTCCCCGCCGCTTCCCATTCCGCACACGCACCAGTAGTACTCGGAAATTCGTTCCTCCGAGGTCCAAGGCCAGGAAGTCCCCTTTCTCTGGAAAACAAACCCAGGAAGACATGAGTTCCCCATCTAGAAGTTAAGATCAGCAAGGCCAGACGCCTGCTAGTTCCTGCTGGGTTCTCAAATGGGTCATCTGCACACGGGTCTCATAAATCAAAATGAACCCTGTAGAACACAGGGAGTGCCAATACAGAATACTTAAACCTGTCTAAGTACGTCATCTGAGCTGGCTGCAATGACACCGAGTCTAGAAGATAGAGATCAGCAGAGCAGCTCTTCAAAGAAAGTTGAAGCCAGGCGAGCTGGCACACGCCTACAAGCCCAGTACTGTCAATCTGGGCTACATGACACCTTGTCTCATTTAAAAAATGGAAAAGAAAATTGAAGGAAATCTTTAAAACAAATAAGAAACCTTCTTTGTTGGACAATTATAATGTGCCAAGAGCCCACACACAGTCTTTCTCCAACCCTGAGGCAAGTCTGTAAGGGACACAGTTCCTTCCCTCCCAGGTGATCATGAAGCTCGAGTTGAACTGCACTAGAAGGTAACGGAACCAAATCCCACTCTCTGCCTCTGGATAGCCACAGTTGGCCTGGAACTCACTATGCTGGCCTTGAACTCACAAAGATCCACCTGCCTTTGCCTCCCAAGTGCTGGGATTAAAGCTGTGTGCCACCACATCTGGCTACTATGGATTAAAATTTTTTGTATGGGACCAGATACGAAATAGTTAAGCTTACAGGCCATATAGTCTGTGCTGCAACCCTTGCCTTTGCTAAGGAAGTACAAAAGTAGTCAACAACACAGCCTAGGTGAATGGGAATGGCTGTTGTACTGATAACATTTTATTAAAAAAAAAAGTTGAGCATAGGTCAAATCTGGCCCGTCAAGTATATAGATCCAGACCAGTGTAGTAATTCAGAGAGCTGGCTCTGGAATCCAAATTCCTGGGTTCAAATCCCAGTTTTGGTATTATATGCTGTATGACCTTTGGTAAAAGTCTCTTAATTTCTCTACGCCTCAGTTTTCTGCCAAACAGTGATTTGTTAATAAAAAGAATTCGGCCAGGTGTGTTGGCATACACCTATTATTCCAGCATGAGGTATTCAAGGTCATCCTGGACTACATAGCGAATTTGAGGTCAGCCTGGGCTACCTGGGTCCTTGTTTCATAAAACAAAACTAACAGAGCTACAGACATAACTCAGTAGTTAAGAGGGAATACTTGCAGAGGAACTAAGTTTGGTTTCTAGTATCCCTATCAGATGGCTCACAACTGCCAGTAAGTACAGCTCCAGGGCGATCTGACACCTCTGGACTCAGTGAGTACCCATACTCACATGCATATACCCACACACAGATACACATACATATAATTTAAAATCCAAAACAAACAAAACTGCTAACCGGAAATAGTTAATAAATACTAAATGAATTAAAACATGTTAAGGGGGCTGGAGAGTTGGGTTAATGGCTAAGAGCACTGACTGCTCTTACAAAGGACCTGGGTGTGATTCTCAACACCTACATGGCAGCTAACAACGATCCTAACTGTAGTTCCAGGGGAATCTGACACCGTCTTCTGACTTCTGTGGGCATTGTACAATATGGGTGCACTTACACACATGCTGGCAATACACTTGTACACATAAAAAATGGAATCCCTGGTTGACTTCATGAAACACTAGAATGCCCTTACTTGAATACAGCTGCAGAAATGTGTTCTAATTCAACGGCCTGTGTTATCCAGGGCAAAAGTAAGCCGAGGGTATACCCAAGGTGCTGCGTACCTGTACCATCAGGGGTGGCGCACACATAGGTGGGCAGCATTTTCACAGGGGCAATGGCATGTGTCTCCTTGCTCAGACCTTGCTCCATTTCCACCTTCATCCTCCTCTTGACCTCCAGCAGTTGCTCATGGCTCAGCTTCAGAGGCTCCAGGGTCTTCTGGCGGGCTCGGTGCTGGTCAGCCAGCCGGTAAGCCACTGCTGTCACCATGGCTGCCCCTTTGCCGCTGCCATCCTCGGAGCGGAGGAAACGAACATCGCAGTCAGGCACCAGCCTCCTCACCACCTTGTGAAGACGCTTGGCAAAGCTGGAGTGGTACACATGGAGGAAGAGACAGGTATCCAAGTTACAGTCAGTGGTACAAACGACTGCACAGTAACATTCACCTCAGCACCGACCCTGGAGACCCCTGCAGAAGCAGATGTGTCCAAGAATCTTCTCGCTCCAGTCTTTCCCATCTTAGGGTCATTGTATAGAAGCCCAGATATTTAAACGTGAACACCCTTGCTGGGTCTTCTAGCAAGCTACTGTCCCCTGCACACAGTCACCCAAAGCCCCTCTTTCTCATGGAGCTGGCCACAGCCCCTCAGCCAGCTTTGCTCAGGCAATCCAATGGAATCAGGTGCTCCAATGCCACCTGCTCCTCAGGGTCCAGCCTCCTTTTCATTTGATGCCTGTGGGAAAGCATCCAATGGAAAAACTAGAATCTTGTTCTTCTGGACTTTGGTCTTTTGTTATTTTCTAATTCTAAATGATCCCAAAGGTTTCTGAACAACTAGAGACAAAGAGCCCATTCAGCAAGAAGCTCTTGGTGTGGTGGCCACCAGGTGCCACAGTCTATGGCCAGTAGCCTCACTGGAGGCTGCTAATTGCAAGATTCAGGTGTACCCCAGAACTTCTGGGCCAGAATTAGGCTCTTCACAACATTCTCAGGTTAGTCACAAGCACATTAAAGTCTTGAAGGCCCTGGGCTAGAAGACTAGTCAATCTCAGGGCTGAGGCCATCGGCGATGACCAGCTCAGTTGAAGGTGCACCGACTAGGCATATATTGGGGAAAAAAAGATGGAAAAAGAAGTGAGAGCAACAGGATAACATCTCAGGGCCCAACTGAGATCCGAACATTTTAGCATACATGACCCAAGGAACATGGACAGGACAGGAGCAATTCAACAGCAAAAGCCTCCAGATAGGCTGGTAACTCTCAGGGTTGGGGTGGCTACTGGCAGAGGACCAGGAACCTATAGGAACCAGCAAGAATAGCACGAGTAAAGAATGAACTAGTAAGTTATAAAGAAGAGGGAAGTGGGCTAGTGATGAAGCTCAGCTGGTAAAGTGTTTGCCTAACATGCACAGAGCCCTGGGTTCTATCTCCCACACTGCATAAAACAGGTATGGTGACAAACACCTGCAATCCTAGAACTCAGGAGGTAGAGTCAGGAGGATCAGAAGTTCAAGGTCATCCTCAACTGCCTATTGAGCCCAAGGCCAGAACAGTCTGTCTCAAAACACAACACAACAAAACAAAACAAAACGGCAAGAGCAGGAGAAAAAGGAGGACGGGGAGGAGGAGGCAGCAAGAAAGCAGCCACCAGGGGCTCTGAGTAGCACACAAGTCATCAGCTCCTTCAGAAATCACCTCCACACATGCCCAGTTGGGAACATTTATTCTTCACAGAAAGCAACACAGAGCTGCTCGTGGAGTCACCAGGGGACTCCACACTCCCAGGCCCAGGCTGTTCACTCACTGGGGGTGTTTCTTGTAGACAGAGCCATCGACGCCAATGGTGGAGCGTAGGCGCTCCTCGCCCTTGTTCTCCTTGATGCGCCACAGCACGGCAGCCAGGGTGGCTGCACACAGACTGGCCGAGCGTGTGGACACGATCTGACAGACGCGGTGCGTGGCCACGCAGTCCTCCTGCAAGGGATTCAGGCCCAGCCTTACAAGGACCTGGTAGGCCTTCCGGATGCCATCTTTCTCCCTGGGAAACAAAGAGAGTGTGTGAGCTAGCACCTGACTCACTGTGGCCAGAGGGAGGGGGTATGGACTGGCAAGGAATTCCAACAAACTCCCCTTCCACAGAAGGACAGAATCCTTCAGCACCGCTCTGCCCAGGGAGGGAATCTGAAGGAGCACACACACACACACAGCACAGTGCCTGTCTCACTTCCCCTCTTCAGATATCCTTTGCTCTTCCATGAGAAAAACCAGTAATTTCTCTATGTACTACATAAGGAAAAGACCCTGTTCATGGAGCCTCACAGCAGGATGGCGTGTCTCAACCACCACCCACCTCTGAGCATACAAATTCAGCGTGGAGCCCATCTATTGCTCTCTAGAACAGTGAGAACCAATCTGAACCAATATGCGCCTTGAAGATGGCAGGAAAGAAAGGGCTGGAGCTAGGACCTGAGCCTCTCTTGAGGGAGCCGTGCGCCTCAGTCAGGAGCGCACTCATCCTTGGGACTTAGTGAAGAGTAGGCAGAGTTCCTCCAAGGATGTTCATCAGAACAGTCCTTTCTATTTCACTGCTCCCCTTTGGCACTAATACCACTTCCCCTACCAATTTCATCCCTGAAATAACAAGATCCCCTCAATCAAGTGGAAGTCTCAAGTATAGAACAGTAAACCCAGCTCTTGGGAAACTGTTCAGTGAAAATCAGGATGTCTTTGCCTCCCTGCCATCCACACTGAAATGCATCTGTGGGCATCTGTCCTGGTTAGCCCAGGGTCATCTGAAAGGAGAACCCTCAACTGAGGAATTTCCCAGATCAGACTGGCCTGCGGGTCTGTCTGGGGCCACTGTCTTGCTTACTGATTGACACAGGAGGGCCCAGCTTACTGCATACAGTAGTACCACCCCTAGGCAGGTGCCCCTGGACTATATAAGCAAGTAAGCTGAGCATGAGCCGGAGAGCAAGCCAGCAGGCAGCATTCCTCCATAGTTTCTGCTTTAAGGTCCCACTCTGACTTCCCTCAGTGATGAGTCCAGTGATGAGTGACCCGGAAATGTAAGCCAAATAACCCGTCCCCCAAGTTGCTTTTGGTCAGAAGGTTTTATCACTGCATCAGAAAGAAAACCAGAACAGCATCCAAGGACAGATTTTTCTGTTATGAAGTTGAGGTTAGCAGAGAATGTTTTTTGAGAACTACCTATGGGGAATGAGATGTCAGAGCTGGGCTTGAGAGATGGTTCAGCCATGAAAGGTTGAGGATCACAAACTGATGAGATGGCAAAGCTTAGGAGAAAGATACATGCAGCCATTAAGGTACCATCTTAGATACCTCAAGCCCAAGAACAGGGCTGGAGAGAGAGTTCAGTAGGTAAAGTGCTTGCCTTGCAATTATAAGGACCTGAGTTTGAGCCCCACAACTCCTAAAAAAGCAGGCTGTGGTTGATGTACACTTGTAATCCCAGAGCTGGGGACGCAGAGACAGGTAAATTCCTGGGCTTCACCACTGGCCAGACAGCCTAGCCTACTTGGTGAATTACAGGCCAGTGAGAGATTCTGTCTCAAAAAACAAGGTAAACAGCACCTGAGGAACAATACCCAACATTGACATGCATGCAGCAGTCAAATTCTCTCTCTTTCTCTTTCTCTTTCTCTCTCTCTCTCTCTCTCTCTCTCTCTTTCTCTCTCTCTCT